GACAGTCATGTAAACCTAGGCAGACTCCATGAATCGATTCGCTTGCTTCTGTATATATCTCATGGTCATGTTGCGCCACCATTGACTGCAAAACGCTGCAGAACAGCCCAAATTCTTCAATGCCAAGGCCGAAATTCACACAAGCGCAAGCCGAGCACTTTCGAGTTGCCTTTTGTTAGGAAGCCCCATGGTGTCATGGATTTCGTCTACGCATACCCGCAACAGCAACATACGGCCAGTTCCAGAAGCAGAAGTCTGTCTTGTCTCCCGCGCAGGAAACTTTGACTTCTTGTAGGCCTCTGCAGGAGGTCTTAGCAGACAGGACGTGACAAATAGCATCCTCCGTGCGCCAGACGCACCATGCACAACTTGAAAGACCACGATATACCACGATGAACCGTGATGAAGACACGTTGAAAGGGGTACGCGAGCCACTATAAGCAAGTACGGAACAAATCTCGCTAGTCATTGAATGCTATTGGCCTTAGCTTTAGCTTCGGGCTGCAGTTTCTCACAACGGTGGCTGCGATCGCGCTGCTCTTGCAAGGACTCTTTGGGGAGCCCAAAGGAGTCGAATGAGGAGATGGTCTCCGTGGCATTCCGTAAGCTTGGCACTTCCGGCCGAATGGATGTTGACTCTTTCTTGAAGTGGGTTTTCCAGGAGGGGAGCTTAGTGCCAGCATAGCTTTGCAGCGGAACCTGTGGATAAGGATGCATGCAAGCTAGACATGATTCATGGAACTGTGATGCCTGCATGGCATTGCCGAGTACACCCTGTGGAGTGTGGCCACGGCTGCTCCTACTTCGTCCCCACTTCTTGAGACTGCGCAAAGCGCAGCCTCAGAATGTCATAACCACCTCCTCATGCCGGAGCCCCCTCGAAGCATGAAAGCAATAGACGTCACGACGAGGCAGGATCACATTCGTGCGGAGGTGTTGTTGCAGACAGGGTTAGACACAGCCCATTCAGCAAAGCGATTGGGCAACGACCTTGGTTTTCAGTGGCGCCTGCTCTTTTGCACACCTTCCAATATCGCAAACTCTGCAGATGCCTTCACTGAAAGCCGAGGGAAGAAACCCTAAAATCCTAAACCCTAAACCCATAATCAAGCCAGGATCATGCAGTGAAAACTGAGCCTACTATGCTGAGGTCGCCACTCGTCAGGCCGGGGAGGAACCCAAACCTGCCCCATATCATAGGGGACTTCATAAGTGCCTTTACTAGTTTGAGGGCTCCTTATTGTAGTTATAGTATAATATTATACTCCAATGCCTTATTCTAATTGTTGGGCCCCTATAGTGCTCACAAGTCCGTTTGCCGAAGCTGCACTCTTCCCAGTCCTTCTGCAGTTCTTTTCGTTGCTGGCCTGGCGATCGGGGCATTGCATGCTGAAACGAGAGGGTGGATCCACCATTGGTACAAAGCAAGCCGGCTTCAGCCATCAAGGACTTTTCTACAATGTCTTACAGAGGGGGTAGCAGATAGATGCATGTGTGGACGAAAGTAGATCAACAAGTTCGTCGAGGGTTTCATGGCTTATGTTCATACTTATGTATCCTAGAAGTAGAAGACGTTCGGTTGTTTGTGCAAAGAAGCACCACAACAATACACACGCAGATACGCGAATGCTTACCATGCGTGCAACCGTTGTTCCTACCAGCAAACGAAGATTAGCTACTTTACCGAAAGTCTACACTCATACTCCCAGCTACAGCGAACGTAGATGCAAAGAGACGCGCGTCTCAAGTCTTGGCGATGTTCCGCCCTGCAGCCGCGCGGTTTGCGTCGCTTCAAGCTCGTGGCTCGCCTGAAGGGATGTTTCATGACACAACTCCATAATCATGAGCCAGTAGCCTTGAATGTCTTCTCAGGAGCAGTTCGTTTTTGTCTCTAAGACGCAATCCTGCTCTGATAAGTCTGACAGACCATGGCTTACCTCATACTGTCAGATACCACGTGCTGGTAGTACCAATCACGCGGAGGTTGGTAAACACAGGAAGAACAATAGTGACGCTAGTCGTGTTACAGTAGCAGCAATAGTAAAGCTGCAGAAGAATGAAGGCATGACAGGGACAATAAAGCAGCTCGCAGATTGGAAAGCATACGATCGGAATGTTTGAAGCAAGTAGTATATAAGCAAGCCAGCAAGCAAAACCGGAGGATGAAAAATCCCCGCAGAACATTGACATGCGAGGCATGCCCAGCCTTTACCCCGTAGACGTATCGCAGAAGCTCCTTCAAAGCTCCTCTGCACGAATGCACACATGTATGTATGCATGTAAGTATGTAAATTTGTAGATGTGTATGTATGTATGTATGTATGTATGTATGGTGTGTGCATGTATGTAGGTATGCATGTCTGCATGCATGCATGTACGTTTGGATGTGTGTATGCAAGCATGCAAGCATGGAAGGCTGCATGCATGTATCTACGTAGCTATGAACGCAAGTATGTAAGTATCTTTCTATCCATCTATCTGTCTATCTACCTAATTAGTTTAGTCTGTCTAGCTATATGTCCATTTATCTGCCGATCTGCTTTCCTATCTATCTACCTTCTATCTATCGGTCCGTCTGTCTGTCTATCAACTTATCTACCTATCTATCTACCTATGGACCTATGTATGTAACTGTAGTTATGGGCTGCCAAAGTCATAGACTATTGTAGAACGATCAAGTTTGTTTGGCGGCATTGGCACTGATAGGCACTGCTGCTCTATCCTTTTATTGTGCTGTGTACGCTGCTGATATTGTTGATGGCGCTAAGAACGTAGCTGGGTGCTGTGCAAACCAAGTGATGGGTTGGAACAGATCTTCTGGATTTAAGGGTTTACAGAGTTGTCTCGTCAAGCTTCACAGTTTCGGAGCCCGCAACCGCAAACCCTGTGTGCGTGCCTCTGTGACTCGTGGCCCGAAGCTTTGAAGCCACAAAGGACTGCAAACTGAGCTTCGAAAGTCCACGAGCCCCGAAGTGCTGCGGCCCACAATCTGCAATGCTCTGAACACCCAAAGAATCCAAAGGCAGTGGAGTAGATCAGGGTTTGGAACTTCATATGCAATGCTGCCCACTCTTCTGCTCGTCTGAGTTTCAGAAGCTAACAAAGCATCAATCTAGTGGCAGCAAGTAAGCGGCATTGCCCGGCACATTGCGATTTGTCAATCTTGTGATGCAATAATTTGGGAGCCTCAATAATTAGAATTAGAATAGGGTTTGGGTGTTCGTTATATCGTTAAAGGGGCCTTGAGGAACTGTAATTATTGGAAATACTGTCGGCCTCCATGTCAGACCGTTGACCCGGGGAGCCAACCCTTGGGGATGTTTAAACCGGCAACCATACGACAGAGGCCTAAATACTTACGTATATGTTTTGGAGGGTTCCTTAAGTATGGCATCATGGGCCCCAAACCCCTATTCTAATTATTAGTGCCCCTATATTACCAAACCCCTGGCCCGTCATCAAAAAAGCATATTGACAAGACCAGATACATCACAGAAGCCATACTGGTGTGTCAGCAATGGTAACATGATCAGTAAACACAAAACTGACAAGCAACTCAAGCGGTAGATGGAGACACTCCAAGACCCACCCCAGTACCCTAACTCTAAACCCCGGAGCCCTAAAGCCTTAAACCCCTAAGCCCTAAAGCCCAGCCCCTAAGCCCCAAACCCCTAAACCCTAACCCCCAAGCCCAAACCCCTAAAACAGAGTCCAGGATCACATGGCCCAGCGCTTTTCGAAATTCCCCGGGCGAAGTTCAAGCAGGGCCTCGGCGACGTGGCTCTCAGGCCCGATTTAGGATTTGGGGTTTTAGGGTTGGGGCTTTTGGGTTTTTAGGGCTTTGGGGTTTGAGGCTGGGGTCTTCTGGGTTTTAGGAGTCATGAGTTTAGGGATGGGGTTTCAGGGTGTAGGGCTGTGGGGTGTTCGGGCGAAGTTCGGCTGTTAGAGTCTATAGGGTTTCAGGGTTTGGGGAAGAGGGCTCTGGCCCAGGGTTGTTTTGGTGTGTGGACATTCCCACCCGAGAGGGTACCAATCCATATACTTTTGTCTCGGCACCCACCTACCCCCAGAGAGTGTTGCAGGCATTAGGATTTGCGGTTCTAGGGTGTGGGGTTTTGATGTTGTGGGCTCGTAGGGCCTTGGCATGTATGATTTTTAGATCTTGGATCTCAAAGGGTGTGGTGTCCAGGGGTCGGCCAGAAAAGTTGTACAGGTTCTATTCGGTTTGACTGGCTTTAGCGTCCGAGGTTGAATCGGTTCAGGGCTCCAGGCGTCTGTAGGGCTTGGTACGTAGGTCTTAAGGTGTGTAATCATAGGGTGAAAAAGGAACAGACCCTAGTTTGGGCTTTGGAGGCCTGTTGCTCATCGTTCGATCTGTCTGGATGCAACAGCAAGAGCCGCAGCATCATCAACAGTGCAGAAGCAGCCACAGCAACAACATCATCATCATAAGCGTTATTGCTACGAACGTTTACTCGTCATACTCAGACCAGTAGCTCAGCAGAAACATCCAGAGCAAAGACGAAGACAGCAACAACGAGGAAGAGCAGCAGGAGCAGCAGCAAAAGACTCTGTCTCTCTCTCTCTCTCTCTGGTTCTCTTTCTCCGCTCGCTTGTGTTCACGTGAGATCCTTTCTAGAATCCTTATACTCTTAGAGAGCCTTTTAAGGAACTTCGATGGAGCCCTTATGGATCCTTTGAGAAATTCGGTTTGGGCACCAGGGCCTCGAAGCAGCCGCTGCAGGGCGCTCCCGAGGCGCCGGTGGTAAGTTTGTCAAGGATGATGGCTGCAGGTTTCAGGGGTCGTGGTGGCTTGGAGTCTCGACACAGCTGGGGAATAGAGGTTTTGGCCCGAGGCGCATTTTCAGAATGCAGGTTGCCAGGAATCCAGTAGACGATCTGTCGTTGTGGCTTGGTTGACAACGCAGCAGAGGGTTTTGAAAGGACATGTTGTGGCTTCTGCAGAGCCATTTTGGCTCAGGTATTGTCTAGGTGCGAAGATGAATGCCTCTGGGGGCACGAGCCCTCGGGACTGGGGATCCCAATTTCAATTCTCAGCGGTCGTGAGTAGTACCGGCCTGTCCTTCAATCGACAGGTCAGTGGATCGCAAGTTTCCTCGAGCTCATGCAGTTCCTGCCAGGGCGGGATCCCCTTTTACCAGCCGAAGGATAGCACCAAGGACTTGAAAGTTTTCAGCGACGCCATCACCGGTCACCTCCAGATTGTGCTAAGTTGCCTTGCTCAGGCAGACCAGGACTTGCTAAGTTGTGCACGGCACACTGAGAATCAAGTCGTGGAGCTTGTCTGTTCTGCACAGACGGTCGCATGCAAACTGGCAACTACAGCTGGTAATGCTTTAGAGAAGCTTCCGACACTGCTGTGGGCGGCACGGGGTCACGGAAGTACGGAGCTGTCCGATTGCATAGTTGAGCTTAATGGCAACCTAGGTACTCTGAGGAAGGAGACACAAGGAATCCGCTCTGACTATATTGATTTGCTCACGCAGGTACAGTACATGGGGCACTGCACACAGGTCACAGTGGATCAGACGGTGATGAGTGTTCTGCCCGAACCCTCGGAGAAAGAGGACGGGAGCATGGAGTGCCAAATTCCACCCAACCTGGCTTTCGAGCCCCAGGACCAGGAAAAGAAGGAGTCACAGAAGTATCTGGAACTGACACTTTTGCACCTGGATTACATGAGCCAGATTTTGGAGGAATGCTCTGACTTTTGGCTGATGCTGCACCAGGCAGAGCTACAGATCCGGAAGCTGGAAAAGGACTCCCAGAAAATTTGTGATGGTTCGGGCAGACATGGAGATAAAGCTGCACTACTGAGCTTTTGTGAAAAAGTTCGATCTTTCTGCGGAGTGTATTCGGGTGTTCCGCCACCCAACTACCATTTTAAGTCGCATTTGTCGGTGGCCTCGCGTTCTGCCCTAGGCAGCACAGGCTCGCTGAGTGATGCAGTGCACGGCAGCATGGACTCCCTGAGCGATGCCGTGCATTGAGTTAACCGCAGATCTTCGACGGTTTAAAGCCTTGAACTCCCCCCGCGTTTCAATGAGAGTTGCTGCGCTTCACAGAGTGGAACAGAGAACTGAGGCGCCCAAACCACATTCTGCAGCAGGGTTGCGGAAGTAGCGCGGGAATCCTGATTGTGTTCAGAGCCGTCGTTAGCTGTTCATGATACCGTTCGATCGCCACGAGATTCATTTAGTAAATGATGGTACTAACACCACCACCACCAACCAGCACCACCACTGCAATAGCCGGTGCCATCGGCCTCACCATCGCGATCCACGTCCTGACGATCGCCAGCGTCATCACTATCACGATTGCAGTTTACCATCATCATCAGTCTCCCTCGTCATCAAGTCACCATCTAGGCATTTATGTTGAAAGTTGCAGGCAGACGCCACCAACTCGGAGCTGTACCCAGGAGGGCTGCTGTCGTCGGTGCTAGGTGTTGGAGAAAGTTCGAAGCAACCTGGTATCTTTCACAGTCACGGAGGCTGAAAGTTCGTCAAGTTTCACGGAGAACGCTCCAGGAATGTTGTTCTCTTAAGATAAGTGCCGAGGCCCCTCAGCACTAAGCCAAGACAGAAAGTGCGAGGAGACCGGCAATTCTGGTCGGAGATCTGCTCGGAGCTCTTCTACCACCTGAAACATCAGTCGCCCAGGCCAGGGCTGCTATGCGTCCATACTTGGAGGGTCGGGGGACGTAGTAAGTAGGTAGTAAGTACCCGAAAAGGGACCCTAATTGGGGTTATGGTACTTATAAGTCCCTAAAATAACCAGTTAGTAAGTCCCCCGAGCCTCCAAGTATGCATCTCCAGCGTAGGGTTTAGGGTTTTAGGATTTGTTGAAGGAGGCAATGCTGGCAGTCATCAAGTCCGGTTTCAAAAGGGGCTTTAGGGACCGTGCAGGGTTCAGTGGGCTGCTTCCCGGCCATGCTTCGAGACACTATAGGTCTCAGGCTTTGGCTAGGGGGCCTGAGCAGTGCCTTTTAGGGATGTGTTATGTTCATGGGTTCCATGCTGCTGAGTTCGCTGGCATCATGCCACCTCGAAGAGGTATGGTCACTAGGTGTTGGAGCTGACCAGCCGTCAGACTCTGTGAAGAAAGCCCGGATACGCCCTGCAGGCCGCAGACTCCTTGCTTTTCACCCTTGAAGTTACGAACTTGCGCTGAGTCGGCTGGCCGACGTTCACGGAGCCCGAAACTTCTCGCTTTCGCCATTGCCAGAAACATCAGCCTCGTTCTCTCCAGCTTGGCACGCAAGCAGCTGCGTGATGCCCTGTGCCCGGTTGGTTGCCTTCAGCCGTGGGGACTGAACTTGTCGCTTTATAGTGTAAGCCAACGCGGCTATCAGATGTTACCGTGGCAGAATAGATTCCCATGTGTGGAAGAGTTGTCTCAATCACACCCTGAAATGGTGGTGGTCGTCTCAGAGGGAGGGATCGGTGGGACGATGATCTGATGGAAGCAAGGGGCAATGCACCCTCAATTGGGTCTGCTCTGCTGCTGCTGCTGCCAAGAACCCCTGATGGCTGCAATGGATGTCTATAACATGCCTGAATAATGACCTATACTATTTTGGGGGTTCCTTATTACAAGTATAGTATAATGGGCCCCAAAACCTTATTCTAATTATTAAGGCCCGTTTACTAGGAGCCATTTGTCATCCCGCAGAGGGCTGCTGCAGCGAGCTATCTCCATTGAAACATGCAGCGAACTCCTTGCGGTTCTTGATGGTCGTGGTAGTCACAGTTGCTGGAACCATGGGCCATAGCAACAGTGACTTTCAGGACGGCAGCAAGAAGTCTAATCGTTCATGCGACTAATGCCACTAACGATAAGAAAATGGCTAAGATATGGTTGATGAGATTCGTATCAAGGTCGAGTTGTTGGACCACGTGGCAGCGCACCTTGATGGGCCCTGGCTGACCTGCTTCAACATCCAGGAAGTTTCCGTGAGATCCCCTAGCTCCATGGCCACACCTTGCCTGCTGTCCCGTCCCGTTCAGAGTGTTCGAATACCTGTTCGGCGTCGGTTTACGGTTCAGGTTTAGCGCTGACGTTTGGAAGACAGACGGAGATGACACGTCGATCGTCTCCCACAATAATGTTTTGGGCCGATATCATCATCGTTGACGGCGAAGGGAGGCTTTGCAGCAAGAGCAGGGCTAGTGACTTCAGTGGAAGAACGAGTGGCTTGCTCCTGCGGAAACCACCTCAACCGCGCCCTAGTGCCAGACCTTGAAGCCCTAAGCTCAAACTGCGTGAAGGACCTGACGCTGCTATGCAACAGCTATGCCCAGCTGTCACATGCAGCTCCACAGCTCTTCCGCAACTGCGCCGAGGAGAGGTAGCGGCCACTCTGTCCGGTTTTGTCGATGAGTGCATGATGAATGATGATTAAGAGGGCTGCGACCATGCTGCTGATGGTGGCAAGGGGCGGTCATGACGAGCTCCTGTCGGTTCAGGTGGCCAACACGGTCCTGGTGATGTCTTTCAGAATACTGACAGGTGCTAGTAGCAATCATTGTGCTGATGGTATGTTCGTGGTTCTGGCAGCTGCAAGGGTGGTAATGGTGGTCATAAGGATGTCAATCACAAAAGTGATCAAGGTGATGCTGACGCCGATGACGAGTGGTGAGGTTAGCGCCGGTCAGGGTGACTTTGATTCTGGTGGTTCTGAGGCGACGAGACGACAAGCGATGATTGATGACGCTGATTGTCGTAGGAGCAGGCATGGTCATGCCGATGTTGCTCACCACCACTGCTGCGTCTCATGCGCCGGTGCATGACTGCCACTGCTCTGTTGTTTCTCAAGGCTTCTTACATACATGGTACTGCTTGTTCTACTACTGCTCTAACGACCGGATCTTGCGCTGGAGTTTCGAGCCGAGCACGACGGAATGCCTTGCGAACGATTTGAAGGGACACCTCGAGCTTCTTGGTACATCGGGATGAAGCTTGGTTGAATCTGAAAAACTCCCCTGAACCAAGCTTCTCCTTACACCCTAAGTGCAAGAAGCCCCTGATCCCTAGAAGCATGTAATATAGGGGCCTTAAGAAATAGAATAGGGTTTTGCAGGGTTCCTTATTACATGTATAGAATACTACCCCCAAACCCTATTCTTTCTAATTCTTAAGAAACCCTATACTATAGAGCCCTACTATCGACCCTTATAGAACCCTTTAAAGGAACCCCTTAAAGGAACTCTCAAGGAGCTGCTTTGGAAGCTACCGGAGGCCAACCCTCAGGAGCTGACTCTGGTGGCCGGGGTCTTGATGGGCAGTGTCTTCGGGGTTTGGGGTGTAGGGTTTCGGGGTTTTTTAGTTTGCCGTGGAATAGCATGTAGGCGGCGATAGTATCTTGCGACAAGGTTTTGTCGAGTGCGTCGTGCTGCGGCGACGAGCTGCGAAAGCCTCTAGGCGTTTTCACTCTTTCCTTCCCACCCCACGCCGTATAAGGCGGCCAGCCACCCAAACCTATTCCTTTTAGGGTTCAGGCCTAAACCTATGCCAGGTTCTTCCTTGCAAGGCAAAGTCCCCACCAGCAAGGCCGTAGCATGGGGCAAAACAGGACACAGGGCTGGGAAAGGCGGCCTTAGTGCTCGCTGGCACCGAAGGGCTTGGGAGAAAAGGGTGGGGGATCCCCCACAGCTCCGAGTTACAGTTTTTGACCAAGTCCTCCCTGCACCGGTCTGGAGGTTGTGGGTCCTTGAGTTTTGCTTGCCGACCAAACTCCCCTGAGGTCCCGTTTGTGGGGGCTTTGCACCAGCCAGCCATGCCCAGTGGCCAGAGACCAGCAAGGAGAACGTGGTTCGGTACGGGTACGAGGTGGGTCGCTCATCACATCTCTGCAAGCGCCCCGCATGCACGGAGGTGGGTGGCCTCGGCCTTGAGTTGGGTTTAGGGTGTCTGATTGCAGGCTGGTAGTCGATGCTTGTGGGTGGCACAGGGAGGGCCAGCAGGGGAAGCCGAGAGGGCAGGGGGCACAGGGGCAGCAGGGACCAGGGGCAACAAGGCGCCAGGGGTTTTAGGACCGGAAGTGTTTGTAACGTGGACAACAAAGGTTTAAGGTCTATAATGTGGACTGTAAGAATTTAGGAGGGGCCCCAGCGACATTGGCTGGGAATCTCGTCGACCGATCGTACCTTCACCCTAGAGCCCTATAGACTATACTGACTATACGTCAGAGGTTTTTGACCCCCGAGGTTGCGGGTGTTCGAAAAAACCTTTCTGTTGGTTGAATGGTCTGAGCCTTGGCTACAGCGAGGGTATGTTGCATTGAAGACGTGAACCTGTGCACCCGACGTTTTCGCTCCTCTGCTGCATCCTTCGGTCGCCGAAACCCTACATCGCCCACCGAGCCATATGGGTGGTTGTCAAAAATATGGCCCCTCTCTGGGTACTCTAAATATTAGGTGCCGTACTATATTAGGGACCCCAAAAGGGACCATGATTCTGACTTCTGGCGTTCGGATGCTTATTGAACCTCTAAACAACGTTGCATACACAAGCTCCAAGCGGACCTGCTTGGAGAACCTTGCAAAACAGTGCACTAACTCAGGCCTCCGCGTTCATGAAGCTCCGCTCTTACGACACCAAGCTGTTCAGGTCGCCGGAAACACGGTTTCTTTGCGGAATGAATGCTCCAAGGGTTCTACAAGGGTTTAAGGGTCTAGGATCCATAGCTTGGGTTGCAAGTGTGTGTGTGTGTGTGTAAACTCATCCGCAGTAGCACTGGAGGCTCTGCAGGCAGGCGACTCGGGGCAAGTCAGCCGACTTATACTAAAGAGCAAGACATCGCAACGGCCCCTCAACACAAGAGGGCGCAAGGGCTACGGCGAGCACCAAGACGCACTTTCTTGGTTGACTGTTGCGGAATCTCGGTATGCAGAGCGGAGACAGCAGCGGACGACTATGATCCATCACCATTCCAGAACAAGCGGGCTCGGATGTCGATGTCCTTGGCAAACCTTAGAACCAAGACGAAAAAGCAGGAAGAAGGAGGGCAAACCAGTATTGCCTTCGCTTCTTCGGACACAAGCTCCCGATCTTCTTGACGCCGAAGTGTAGCCAACTGCTGCCACCAGCCTTGGAAGGTGGGACATCGGCAGAGGACGTGCGGGAGGCCCGTCCTTATTCGTTTGCTGCAAAAAATGCAGTTCTGAATACTAGCACGGCTCAGGCGGCCATCCACATGCGTGAGGCGAATGATGCCGGCACGCAATCTGCAAAATGACCGAACAGCCTGTCTGTCCTCCCATCCCAGCGCTAGGGCGGGAATAAGATGCAGAAGGTCACTATGCTGAGGCTGCACCTCCAAGTACATCGGCAGCCTGGCGTGGCGCTGCGCCACTTCTCTCCAGCTAGGCAGCCCCAAGTCACGACAGCGTTGCCGAACGTACAAACGATACTGCTGAAGGTTACCACCCTGATGCTGCCAAGCCGGGAAATCAAGAATAAGAAGCTTTGCTAAAATTGCAGAGCTGCGAGAGGCCCAAGAGTTTGGCCATGCATGAGCGAGCCGAAAAACTTGAGCGTAAAGGTCCTCGGAAGGCAGCGTCCACAGCCGGGCTCTTCGCATGGCCATGGCCATCACAGCAAGAAGGTGGCCGGAGATATCCCAGCCTAATTCGGAAAGGAGGAGCGAGGCATCATGCCAACAAGAGGCACCCAACAGCTGTCTTGCCCAAGAGACAAGAAGGTCGTCCAGCACTTCCTTTGCCGAATCTGCTGTTCCATTGAGCCAGAGGCCAACAGAAAGAGAAGCGAAAACCTTGGCCCAGAAGATGGAGCAGATGAGATGCAAGGGAAGAATATCACGCTGAGCCAACCCGACCAAGATGGCAAAGGATTTCTGAGCAATGGCAACCCGTACTGTCAATGCCGAGTCAAGCAGGAGGTTCGAAGGCCACAGGATGCCGAGCCACTTGTGGCTGGTTTTGAAGCCCAAGGACCGATCAGGCTGCAATCCTAGTCCAGGGAGCACTAAAGGTTCAGCAGCCTGGAGTTCCGCCGCACTTTTCCCTGTAACCATGGTTACAGTTTTCTTTTCACCGACGTGGAAGGCAGCTTTGTGGCGGAAAGCCCAGCGCGCAAGCAGGTTGAGACTTTGTTGAAGGGCCCCCCTGCTGCAACCAAGGAGCACCGGATCGTCTGCATGCAAAATTGCAGCGATTTTGAAAGTGGCACAATCGTTCAAAGCCTGAAGAGCAGAGGCCTCGAGATCCGGGTTGTTGTCAAGGAGGTCATTTGATGGCAGAAGGACACTGTTGTCATCATGCTGAAGGATACCCTTGAGCATGGAAACCAGTGCGGGGTTACTGTTACCATGACCAGACCATACACGACCCTGCCACAACTGCGGTATGGGCCAACCAACACCGAGACCACCACCAACAGCAAGGATTTCGCGAACCAGAGAGTCCAAAAGGACTGGATAGCCAAAGGGCCCGATGCAGCCTCCTTCAGGAATACCGCTGGTAACGATAGTGTCGCTGAAACCGCTATACCAAACAACAACGTGGTCCTCCTTTAAGATGTCACCTAAGAGGCCCAAGCAGTGGCCATTCACGTGAGGCCCATCTGCCAATGCACAAAGTAAGTCATGGCGGCAGACTCGAGGGAAGGCCTTTTGAAAATCCCCCATAACAAACCAAAGAGGCCGGTGTTGAAGGATGGCTTCAGCACTTACTTCGTGTAGAAGGAGATGTGCATCATCAACTCCACGGATGTACCCGCTTTGGCAGGGTTGGATGAACCGACGAGCTGCAGACAACCAGCGTTGTGTAAGGAGAGCCTCCTGCATCAACCCTAGCTGAGCCTTAACAAAAATAAATTTGAAGCTAGAAGCAAGGCATGCGGGCCCAGCTTTGTGAACAGGGCAAAGTGCTGCTTGGCGCCACAGTGAGGGGCGGAACGCTGCACCTCCCGGTCCCGTCCAACGCTGTAAGGCCCACACCACAGAGTTCCAACCTTCGGAGTTGGCCATGAAAAGGGCGCGGGGGAGGAGGTCTGGAGGCATGCCCTTGGATGCTGACCAAGAATTTCTGATGTCAACCACTTCGCGCTCAGTTACCGCATAGTCTTTGGAGTCTCCAGAAGGCTGTCGCAAAGCAGCTGCGCAAAGTTGTTGGCAGCGAGCCACTGTTTGAACGTGAAGTTGTTCATCAAATGCTTCTGGCCAGGAGCACTGAGAGCGAAGAGCTTTAACCCACTCTTGGTTAGATTCTGCTTCAGAAAGGATATGTGGACCACTGTGAAGCCGAGGGAGAGGTTGAGGAACAGGGTCACGAAGAAGTTTAAAACAGGTATTAAGCAACGCAGCACAGTCAGTTTCTCTGGAAACCTGTTCTATCAAAGAACCGGTGTCGTCAGAGAGCTCGTGTAGAACAGCTTCTGCTAGATTGGGACGTGCTACTATCTCACGGGATGAAGCACCAGGCCCCGCCCTTAACCAAACATCCCGAACAAGCCCACCAACTGTGTTCGTTAATGCAGCGGCAGCCTCAATGCCCCATAAGTGCTTCTTGCGAGTAGCCAGCGAGCAAGCCTGAAGACAAAGCTCGTCTGCTGCCAGATGAACAGTGCCGCTGAGACTCTGTAGGACGGTTTCTGCCGGCCTAAGAGCTGCAGCCCACTTGGTTGCGTCATGCCACTTCCCTGGGAAAGCTGGCCCAGCTGGTCCTAAGGACCTACCAGGCTGCACATGAACATCAACTTGAATGAGAAAGTGATCTCCCCTGCATGTTTCCTGGCAATGTTCTAGGGGACACCAGTTGGCGCAGTGAAGCCCGTTGTGAATTGAGACATCAACAACTAGGCTCGGGGAGCAGAAAACGAGGTCAATTGCACGCCCTACTCCAATCCCGTGACGCGTGGAAGCCTCACGAATGTGAACTCTTCTTCCACGTAGTGGGAGATCAACAGGACAAACAGTTTGGTTGGCGAGGGTAGGGTTTTGAAGAAGCAAACCATGAAGACGACAAAACCTCTCCCATGCCACTTGCCGCTTTCTGGAAGGCTCCCTGCCGCCACCTAGCTCGTCAGGCTGAATATTCATGTCACCTGTGCCCAAAACCAGGAGTGAGCTCGAAGAATCAGTTTGTTCAAAAAGGAAAGAAATGTCATCTGACAAACCTTGCAGCTCCGCAACCCAATCAGAATCTCTATCGTTGGCAGAGGTCGGCATGGTGAGAACTACCCAGTGCAACACCGAATCATTGTGAAGTTGAAAATCAACCCAAATCCGTCTGTCACTGCCAATGTCGCTGCGAACGGTAGATGTGAACATCACACGTTCGCTCCTGAGAACAGCAGTGCTCGCATAGCTGCGACCTCCCTTGCTGAAAATATGCATACCAAGCTTCCGGGGAGCGGCGACTGCATCAGGCAATCGAGGCGCAGACAGGCCGACGGCATCAAAGGCCAAGGCACTGACTGCCAACTTCAAACCCCACTCATCATTTATCAATGGATCCCAACGTACCCGTAAACCAGCAATGTCCGAGCAGCCTTGGACGCCAGGATTTGCAAGCCCAAGACGCAGTACAGGCTCTGGCACACTGTTCGTAGCAGATTCGGATGAATCGGGCACGACAGTGTCAAGAACCCAGGTCGCAACACGAGCTGCCACACGCAACCCCTCTTGCAGAGAGATCATCCAGGGGGAGTATCTGTTGCTTTGCAAGTGAAAGTTGCTCAAAAGGGTGCCCATCTTGTCGCGCAGATTTGTCCATACTGCCCTCTGTATCAGAGTCACTCTGCTATGCAGTCTGGCAACTCTGGCATTCTGGGCGTGGCTTCTGCAAGTCCGGAAAAAGTCTTGCAGTTCTTTTCCCAAATCCATGGGTAACCACATGGAGAGATACTCTTCTTTCATGCCGGCCGAGTCACCGTGACAGATAGCACCACTGTACGCGCGAATTACCAATTATTCCTGTGGCACGACCACAGCAGCAACTATTGGAAACCAAGAGGGCTCAGTCGCACAAGAAGGCGATGAGAAGAAGGAACGGCTTAAAACAGTTTAGAGCCATTCGGTTTCCTGCGCCGGGGAGGCTTAGGATCAGGCATGGTGAAACCTTCCACAAATTTCAATCCTATGGCTTTGTTCGCGCCGGCGATGTGTACTCGTCCAGAGGACGGCCACACGTTAATGTACGCTCTCTGGCACGCTGTGGCAATCTGGAAACCAATCACGGCGGATCCCTGCCGCAAGTGCCTGAATTGAGAACTGTGCTTGTAAAGCCCCGATTCCGAAGCCAATCTGAGAAACTCATTTTGATCTGGAAGATTCCCGCGCGGAGCTAATGGCATCAGAAGTCTACGATACTGTGCGTTCTCCGTTGCGACATTGGGGCATTGCACCGGTTGAAGCGGACTTCTCTGCATAGAAAAGGTCTCAGGCTGAGCTACGTCCGATGGTTTCTGGCTGGCACTGGAGATGAGCACCTTCCACATCGCATCAACAACACTCGGGCATTGGAACCAATCCTGGACATGAGAAGCTTCTGGTAGCAACTTTGGTTCGGAAACCATCTGCTGCGGGGTCGACGTAGTAGAAATGCTGGGCGTAGGAGGAGTGGCCTTACGGTTCATAGACGAGCTGGCCCACGTCAAGAACATGTCCATGAAGTCGTCGCCGACATAGCCAACATGACGAGAGATGCGCTCTAAGAGGAAAAGAGCACCCTGAGCATCATCAGCGTCAACTCGAAGTCGAACCTGTTGTAAGCAACCTGGAAGATCATCAGGAAGGTCACTGCAATCTTGTAGGTCGAAGTCATCAAACTCTGGCTGGCGGTCATGGGGCCACACAACCTCTCGGACAGGGCTCAGGTCAGCCCGCGTCGGAGCTGAACCTTCGAGTCCCAGACCTACTGCTCGCAGCTGCCCGTCGGAAGCTGGCTGAGTTTCCTCGTCATCGTTGCAGGCTTGAATTGCAACCCCAGAATCTTGGGACTGATCCAACTCCAATTGAGCTCCCGGTCCAGAACTAGACTGAGACTGGCTGCACAAGAACTCTTTCAAGGTGGGCTGGCTGCCCTCAACCCGGGCTTTGGCCCTAGCGACGAAGATTTGCTGCTCTGATTCAGGGCTGGCAAACCATTCCGCGAGCTTCAAGTTTGAATATCTTCGCTTGATTTTGGCTTCATTGCCGCCTTCATCTCGCGCTTTGCGTTTCAGGTCTTGACCCCGAGGAAGACCATCAAGCTCTTGTAGAAACAAGTCACGCGCCAGCGACAGGAGCTTCGGAGCCATGCAGCTGAGCTCGTTGGAAAACAAAACGATGCCCTAGATTGAGCCAAAACCCTGGACACAGGGACAAACCAATAAACCAGAGCACACCGGGCACAAGCCACATTGCAAACTCGTCATGTGCCATCTCACGTGAAATTGTGCAGAAAAGGAACATCATCATGTTAGTCTGAGATTGTCGAGGCTCACTGAAAGGGACCCCCGGTTCGCAGGACTTACAAACCTTAGCCGCAGCCCCGGGGTTCCCCATGTCTGGATCCAGAAAAAAAACAATGGAAATGCACCGTGGAGATATGCTTTTACAAATATGCGTGTGTGCATTCTTCTGATTGCGTGGGGCCTGCCAGCTTCCCAGAATGCGCAGGAACTCCTTTCGAAAGGGGGCCCAGCCAGTTTCCCTGCAGCAACCTGGAACTCACGCAGCGTGTGGACTGAGCCAATTTTTTTCCTGAGAGCAGCCAGAACGCCACTCGAACCACTAACCGAGACAGAGAGTCAACCGACGGGACAACGGACCAGAACAAACACACAAGGACACATACACATACACAAACACACACACAAAAAAAAAAAAACAGACGGGACGTGGCCAAGGCACACGCACTTCGCCGGAGACGAAACGTGGCCAGGGCACACGCACCCCCACGGACCAACCAAGAAACCGAGACAGAGAGAGCCAACCGACGGGACAACGGACCAGAACAAACACACAAGGGCACACACACACACACACAAACACACACAAAAAAACAAAAACAGACGGGACGTGGCCAAGGCACACGCACTTCGCCGGAGACGAAACGTGGCCAGGGCACACGCACCCCCACGGACCAACCAAGAAACCGAGACAGAGAGAGCCAACCGACGGGACAACGGACCAGAACAAACACACAAGGGCACACACACACACACACAAACACACACAAAAAGAACACACACGCACTTCGCCGGAGACGAAACGTGGCCAGGGCACACGCACCCCCACGGACCAACCAAGAAACCGAGACAGAGAGAGCCAACCGACGGGACAACGGACCAGAACAAACACACAAGGGCACACACACACACACACAAACACACACAAAAAAACAAAAACAGACGGGACGTGGCCAAGGCACACGCACTTCGCCGGAGACGAAACGTGGCCAGGGCACACGCACCCCCACGGACCAACCAAGAAACCGAGACAGAGAGAGCCAACCGACGGGACAACGGACCAGAACAAACACACAAGGGCACACACACACACACACAAACACACACAAAAAAACAAAAACAGACGGGACGTGGCCAAGGCACACGCACTTCGCCGGAGACGAAACGTGGCCAGGGCACACGCACCCCCACGGACCAACCAAGAAACCGAGACAGAGAGAGCCAACCGACGGGACAACGGACCAGAACAAACACACAAGGGCACACACACACACACACAAACACACACAAAAAAACAAAAACAGACGGGACGTGGCCAAGGCACACGCACTTCGCCGGAGACGAAACGTGGCCAGGGCACACGCACCCCCACGGACCAACCAAGAAACCGAGACACAGAGAGCCAACCGACGGGACAACGGACCAGAACAAACACACAAGGGCACACCAAAAAAAAAAAACACAGACGGGACGTGGCCAAGGCACACGCACTTCGCCGGAGGCGAAACGTGGCCAGGGCACACGCAGCCCCACAACCGACACAGAACCCGAGACAGAGAGCCAACCGACGAGACAAAAGAAAAAAAATAAAAACACACACACAGAAGGGGACGTGGCCAAGGCACACGCACTTCGCCCGAGGCGAAACGTGGCCAGGGCACACGCACTCCCAGGGACCGAACCGACACAGAAAGCACCAGGAACAGGGAGCACCATCAAAAAGAGGGTAGCATGCATGTCATGGCATGGACGGCTGCGGTTCTCACATTCAACGAGTTGGGGTTTTAAGGTGCAGGATCTTTGGGTTTGACGTTGTCGGACTCGGGGCTCAGCAGAACGATGCGGTTTTGCGCCTGTCTGGGTAGGAAGGGGGAAACATCAGCTGCAGTAAGCGCATGATGCCTCGAGTCTTGAGGAGGGGCAAGGGATTTGGTGTTTGGGGTTTCGCCTTGAGGCTTTGGGAGACTTGCTTGCGGCTCTCTAGGAACTTTCGGTTCAGGAGACGGCTTGGCACAGAGACTGCGAGGAGTTTTTTTTGAGCAACTGGCGACAGCTGGGCCAGAGGGTACACGTGATGGGATGGGGCAACAGCGCGCCAGCTCAGCTTCACAGCTAAGACCCTTGAATGCATACTCACACTCACTTGTTCTTGTTGAGGATCTCTTGCTAACAGTGTCCGAATCTTGCCTTTCACTTAATTTTCTGCAGCAGCATGTCATGTTGGGGCCTCGACATCGTTTAAAGCCTAGCCCACCGTCTTCACATACACCGTTGTCTTGTGGGGCTGTGCAGCAGCCGCCAGCGAAGCCCATATTTACTTTCAATTTTCTGAGCCCGTCAAGCTGCCTCGCGAGCCGTCGGTTCGAGCTCCTCTCTCAGCACACTTCATCGGATATTGTGCCCCTCAGTGGTCGTAGAGGTGTTCAGGCCCCCCGAGTGGTTTTGGAACTACGATTTGACAGAGCTAAAACGCGAGCATTTACCGAGCCGAAGGTTGGGGAGCTCGATCTTCAGATCCGGGGTTTCAAATCGTCCAGGAGCCGAATTTTGAGGCTTTGAGTCCTGAATTCCCAAGACAAAACATACTAACCGCGAAGCACGCAGGCACATTGCCGCACTGTCCTTCCTCCAGGCGAAGGCAAGGATAGAGGTTGACCTCATAAGACCGGCAAAGTTTGCCACAGTTTTTCGCAGCATGGATTCGGAGAGATGCTGCTGTTCGAGTGTTGAACGGGGCCGGGCTGTCGTAAATGTAGCGGCATAACACGGTTTAGGTAGAGGCCAGGAAGTCAAAGACCTCGAGAGCCCTGCCTTTTTTGCAGGACTTCGGCGCAAGGCATGCAGCCAACTTGCTGCACGCCTTTGCACGCAGGGGCCTCGCAGTGCGCATGTCAGACTGGGCCGGGTGCAGAAGAGCGAGATCATCCAGGAGCCACGGTAAGCCATTGAGCAAGATTGTCTCCATATGCAGACCCGGGATACGAACCAATTACTTTAAATCAGGTTTCTACTCTACATCTGACACAGAGTGTGCAGAGGAAGGTTTAGCCCTGCAAGATCTCATACCAGGGATGTCAGGGGCTGAAAGCCTCTGAGCTGAAAGAAGGACTGAAGCCTCCTGTTTATGCAGGCTCCTGCTTTCGGTCTCATCGAAAAGAAAGGCCACAGAGCACCGGCATTACGAAGCTCTCATATGAATGGAAGCCCTCTAAGCTGCAAGCTATGATCGGATCTTTAGACCTTTGCCTTTGTCATTGTGGGCAGCAGTGGTGGTTTTAGTGTTTTGAGCCCAGGCCCGAAGCTTTTTGGGATGAACTTTCCCGACAGCTGGAAAAAGCTGAAGCACGAGAACTTCTCATTCTCAGCCCGAAACCCACCAGGCTCCGGCGCGCCGATGCCACCCAAGCTGTTTCAAAGCCTTGTCTTGGGCCAAGCTTTGGGGCTGTCGTTCTGGGCTGGGGCTTGGCAGGAGATATGATATTAAGGATGGCAGCAGAACCGGGGTTCCTTTGTTGGCTTTCGTAGTCCATCAAGTCTGCATTGCGAAGTTACAAGGATCAGCCAACACATGTCGAAGCGGAAGCTTCTCTTGCCGCCTCCTGTTGCATCATTCTCTTCTTCTAAGTCGGAGACCATCTGCGAGCCTACGAATGCTGCCGAGCTCACCAGCGTAGGCCCTTCTGTGGGCTGCTCTGGGGCTGCTCCAAACCTAGGATCTTTGTGGAATGCGACGGCTGTCAACTAGGCTCACTCATGTTGCAGCGACGCATGTCCACGTCCTCTGATTGACCTTACAGAATGGCCACAGCCTTCGTGGAGAGCACATCATCGCCCCGTGTGCATCCCGAAAGGCATGAGCGGCGAAAACAACCCATGTTAAGGCCTTCCCAGCAAGATTGGCGCTTCCAGGCACTATCCATGCAGCATTTGCAGCCGGCAGGGCAGCGAAGGACTCGCCCAAAGTGGCGAGGACATTGTTGCAGGCATCCGCTGACATTTATCGTCAGTCTTTTGGAGCCCGGTTCCGGGTCTCCTAAGCTCCAAGCACAAGAAATCATCCGAACGCGCCTTCGAATTCAAAGGATTGGTCCAGCCGTGGCAGTTGACTGCTTTAAAGCATTACAGTCAGGGATGCGTCTATGTCATCTCATGGCGGAATTTGCGTTGCATTCTGCTCCATGATGGACCGAAGCTCTCCTAAATTATGCCTGGTGCTTCTTGCCACACAATACCCGCATCTCAACAGTATCATGATTTGCCTCTTTGTTAGGGAACCTTCCAAAGTGTCGGTTGCACGCACAGAACCCTTTGCGGCTTCGACGCAGGCGGCTGTGCGCCGCTACTTGTCACTTCTGCGCCAGAATCCGGATGTTCCTGCGAATCCACACCATGCGCCAGTCTCAGCAGTCGACGTCGCCACTCGTGCCGAGGATGTGCCGCTGTTCGTCCTCGGATTTTCGTTCAAATCTGATACAAGATTTTGCATGAATCCGCAAAGTTGAGGTCTTTCTCGAAAGATTTACTCGTTTACTTGGATTGTTCTCCGTCTCATTCATCTGCGGTCGTACGGACGAGGAGAAGCAGTCATTGAAAAGAACTTAGCTAGAACATGTTGTGATCGCGTTCCTTTTTGTCCGTATATAACTGTATATACGACTTTGTAGTTCCCATTGTAAGTTAGTAAGTATACTACATTAATATACCCCCCAACCCTATTTCTAATCTCTGTGAGGTGGCCGTACTCAGCGGAGCACTGGTCGAGGCCTTTCGATATGAAATGTAGCAGTCGGTTTGCAACAGCCGTCGGGGTTTAGGGTTTCGGGGTTTATGACTTAGGGTGGCATTCTAAACTCTAAACCCTCAAACCCTTAAGTCCTGAGCACCAACAAACAACGTAAGGCCGAATCTCTTATTCTTAGCTGCGCTCGGGCATCCGAGCCATCTTCTGCGTTTCTTGCCTCCCACTTCCCAGACCCAGAGACTCTAATAGCCCTTAATTTTATACGCCTTAAAGAAAAGTAGGATCCCCATATGATGAAAGGTATGTTTCTTAATTCCGTTATAGAACCCTCATAGATCCCTTCAAGGAGCCCTTTAAGGAGCCCTTAGGTGCGTTGAGCTCCCTGGGCTCCTAGTGACGGCAGGCCGGCCTCCACAGCAATCAAGTTCTGAATGCTCTCTGCAATGCGCCCGGGAGCCCGGAAATGCAACAGTCGAGACATTTTCCCAGGTGGTGCTTTTGGAGTTTAAGGAACTTGAGTCCAGTAGCCAAAAGGTCTGGGTCTCTATTCTCTCACCTGATATATATATATATATATATATACATACATACATACATATATATATATATAGAGATCTATATCTATATATATATATACGCATATATTATATTGTATTATATTATATTATATTATGTTATATTACATTATATTATATTATATTATACTATATTAGATTAGATTAGATTAGATTATGTTATATTTTATTATACTATATATATATATCAGTTCCGGTTGAACAACAGACTGACAGGCTTCTTCCCGAACACGGTGGCCTTGGCCTCAGGATTCGAAAGTTTACTTTTCCGTTCCCACTCCTCCACCTAGAGACTCCAATATCCCTTAATCAAGGAGTATTCCTTGAATTATAGTAAACAAAGGATCCCTATTATTATTTAAGGTATATTCCTTAATTAAGGGATATTGGAGTCTCTGGGCACAGTTCACGGGTGATTCCCTCCTTGAGTGTTTAGAAGGTTTGGCTGCAGTTTGGGGGCATGCTGATGGCCAGCGTACTAAATGTGTCCGGCAGTCTTGGGCGGCCTCAACCTGAGATGGACTCGAAGAAATCAGTCTATCACTCCCCAAATCCTAAACTTGGCCCTAAACCCTGAACCTTCAAGTGCAGTCTCACTCAACAGACCTCAAACCGCATGCCTCGCCTGGATTGTCCGAGTGTGACACCGAAATCCCTCAATCTCCCCTCAATATCTCATAGGGACCCCTTAGTATGAAGGCCCCCTACCCCCCCCTCCCCCCTTCCCCCCTTAGGGCCCCTACGAATATCCCAAGCTCGTCGTTAGCTGCTCAGGTGCTTCCACAGAGGCGCGAGTCGAGGCGGCCATCCGGGCGAGTGTGGCCAGGAGGCCGCCCTCACCCTTCGCATAGTCTTGGGGGCCTAAATGGGAGTTTCCGAAAATTAGGGGTTCCTTATTTTGGTGGTTATAAGAAGGTTCTACTATTTAGGGTATTAGGATCCCCTAGTTTGGGAAACTCCCAAATAACTACTCATACTATTCTGGGGGTTCCTTATTCTAATTATAGTACAATGGGCCCCGAACCCTATTAACACTTATTAAGGCCCCTATATGAATCTTGGTTTATGGTTTAGCTTTGGGTTTAGGGCATAAGGATTAGAGTCTAGAGTGTAGGGCCTTGGGTTTAGGGTTTAGGACATGGGGTTTAGGGTCTAATTAGGGTTCAGGTTCGAGGGCGTTAGGGGGTATACACCAAGACCCACGGTGCTTCTACTACGTCCCAGAAGCATTTTGTATCTCTCGTAGATGCTAAATGTAAAATGGGTGTATTTAGTTTCCTGAATTGTGCGGTTCCAGCATTGCTCTGCGGGAGATGAGTGCGATTCTGGTTAGGTTCTCAAAATGCCATGGAGGTGCTACGCTTAAGGTTGCTTGATTTCGGAAGCAATGCAACTCCGTTCGGAGTGCTCAGGGACAGAATCAGCATCCCTCAAGCAGACACGCCTGCCAGAGATGCAAAGTCAGACTTGGGTGTAAGATTTCAGGACAAGGGTGCTCAGATGCCAGCCAGGGAGAACCTTCACCAGCTCGCCGACGCTGCCGTTGGCCTCATGGCTTGCCTGGATCGGCCCACCAGCCGAAAGCAACCTGCCGGGGACCCGGGCTTTAAAGTGATTGATCGGTTTGCACAAGGCCTTTGGAAGGGTTGTTCCTGTTTGTAGGAGTGCTTTCCCCAGACCTGCATGACTCCCCAAACTCAGAATGCTTGCAAGGTTTTACAATGCTTTGGGCTTTCCTATCATCTTCAATCTCACGGTCTATTCTTCAGGTCAGAGCTTGCACGTCGCACATCCCAGTCGAGCATGCCATGCTTGGTTCGACCCTTGACATGAAGTCCGCCCCCAACCCTCAATCCCTTACCAAGCATGGTCCTTGCAGCGCCACCTTGTTAGCTAAGCGGGTGGGAGAAAGTTCCTTGACTCCCTGGAACCGCAGAAGAGAGGTTTCCACACAAGTCCAGTTATGCAGATGCATAAGCCGGACCAATCTCTTTAGTCATCTGCCGTGTGCTCTTTAAGCCAGTAGCTCCCTTAGAGCGAAAGCCTCATGCCGAGACATTGCAGACCTCGGCTAACACCCGGCCAACACATCTGAAGCATCTACAAAGGATCTGTTATACACGTATGAAGAAGGAGCAAGCGGCCCAAATCGGAACGCAAGTAGTGGTTCCGCTAAACGAGCTATGGATTGAGGAACGCAGCGAGCAGAGGGAGATGCTGCAGCGTGCCTGGAGGAGCTGTGGCATGTTGGGAGTTGAGTTGGAATCTCGCACATGTGTCATGTTGTGGCATCTTCGGGTGAGGGATTGAGGTTACATACTTCAGGCCCAACAGAATGTAAAAGGTTGGGCACCAACTACTTACAGCAAAGTTCTGGGCCAGGTTTTGGACAGAACCCTCGAGCCCGCATGTGACCCATTCGCAGAAGCAATTGTGCTGTAGAGCTGCTGCCTTCCCTTTCAGGCGCCGCAAGCATCTTCATTGTCTAAAGGCTGTCCTTCGCTGCCTGAAAATCCCTCGAGTCTAGACGATCTTGTAAACTGCCGGAAGGATGTCGCTGGACGCGCTGAGCGATCAGGTTTCAGAGAAAAGTATCGCCTTGCGGGGAAGGGCTCGCGACTTGTATGAATCGCATAGAGACATCGTGTGCAGTTTGTCTCGCCACACTCCTGCTGTCGAGTTTGGTCCTATGATGTTCCTGGATTCCCGTAGCTTGCTGCATTTAAGATCATGCAGTGTTTCGAAGACAAAACTGGAGCCTCTAGTCAGTACGGAATGCAACTACGAGGCTAAGAAGCACAGTGTTCAAGAATCGTCCTCACCCATGGTGTTTTTGTTGACCTGCTTGCATGCTTGCCTGCTTGGTCTTTCGGTTGTCGCTTGGCTCCAGAGAATGCTGGCAGCCGGCCCATGCTCGCAAACATGTCACTTCCCAGACTGACTTAGCCTAACTTACCGAGCCAGCTTTTTACGCGTCTGGCATACGTCCTTCGAAGAAAGCTGAAATCCAAACCCTTGGCGTTCGAAAACCAAATCTAAAAGACGCCAGACTTTACGTTTGTCTCGCACGTTATTTGAAATCTGACAGTGCATAACTGAGAAGGTCTAAACCAGTCCTGCCATGTGAGAACAGTTCTTATGGAGCTTCTCGAGAAAATTCGCTGCCCGCTCTTCGCGAGCATCGTCGTGCCCCGGCATGGAGCTCAAGCTAGGCTTTTCTTGCCTTCCGCTTTGAGCAAAGAAGTTCAGTCTGCTCTTAGGACCAGGACATGCAACAAGCCCCAAACCCACCATGCAGGAAGAATTGGTGACCCAGTATTGAGGGTGAAGATTCGAATGTTCCTGACCCCTGCACCTACTCGCGGACACGAGAACCACAGTGTGTCTCTTGCTAGATGCAGGCCATGATGAATGAATCGAATGGGTGACCACTTCATCTTTGAACCTGGTCTTCCCCTTGCCCGATTTCAGATGCTGGAGATCCAAACCTGGAGATCCTCAGTTTAAGCATCGGCGGCTCATCGTAGCATGCTATTGAGGGAGTACAGACGGCTCAGAACTGCTTCCATTGCCTGAATGGGCGTTTTCCAGAGTGTCCCATACAGACATATCGTATACATACATATGTATATACATATATATATATATGTATTTATTTTTCATATGCGAATACATGCAACGGCATCTTCGAGACAGAAAAGAGACAGCAAGTGGGCATAGACCAAGACTTGTGCCTGCTTGACTCACACACAGAGTTGCACATGACCGAATAGCACGATGATCCAGTGATGCACACCGCCGGAGCTGGTAGCTGGTCCTTGAGGTACAGCTTCGTGACCACCACCACATGGTCTCTTCGCTCAGTAGGACAGACCAGCTGCTGTCTACATTTTGTGCACTCAGCTGTGCATGAATGTCTCGTTCACTCTCCTCATGTAGCCGACTGGTTCCGTGATCCAGTGCAGAATAGCGGTGCAGAGATGCGGAAGGTCGTGCTGTGTAGTATTGCCCAGGACCAATATCCCGGGCAAAATTCGCTTAGCCATGTGGTACCGCATGATGTGAAGCTCGTCACTTCTGCTTTCAGACACAGGTTTTCCGACAGACTGGTTGTGGTACCTCCAATCACAAATGTGGACTCAGCTCACATGCACACGATCGCAGACAGGCTGCAGGTAGCAGCCGAGCAGCACGTTCAAGATGGTGATCTCGTGACCCTGTATGTCGGAGGCCATGGCATTACTGCCGGTGCTGGGACTGTGCTCGCCCCCATCGATTTCAGTCCCGATAACCAGTTCGGCATCGCACTCGGACGTTTGAAGGACTTCCTTGCGGTGTTCCAAGCTCGCAACCCGCGCGGTGTGAATCACGTGGCCTGGAATTTGTGTGGGGAGCTTCTGGTCGACATGAATCTGCCAGACTTGCCCATTGCCGGCTCCAACTACCATGTTCTGTTTGCCTGCCCGGACACTCGTCTGTCTCACATCGGGAACAACCATGTGCAGTTGGATGGCAGCAATGTTCAAGTCACGAATTTTGCGCTGGCCTACGCTGATGCCGTGAGACGGGAACCAAACTGGATCTCTGCGGTTCATGCAACCAGGACCAAGCTCCTCCGTATGACTCCTCCACAAGTTTGCCCAGCTTACGAAGCATTGGAGGCGCCTCAGGTCGGCTTTGGCTTGCTAGATGCTCTAGATTCCGTTGGCAGATGGTTGTGGCCAAATGTCGTGGTGCCAGGTGCCACTACAGCTGCCCAGGCTGGCTTGAATGCTGCAGCAGGTGTGGCTGCGGACTTGATCCGGCAAGGCCACAACTTCGTGGACAATACTGACGCTGTTCATGGTTACGATGGTCAGGGGCTTCAGAACGGCACCTACACCATCCAGGTGGCCGGTGGCACGAACCAGGGCAAGACATATCTGAGTTGTAGTTCAGACGGCGAAGTAGTGAACTTGTTCCACACGATCGAGAACACCGGCCGCCAAAAGTGGACATATAAACATCGTGGTAGTTTCGGTACATTCAAAGCTGCTGGCGGCATTGATGGTGACCGCATCTGGCTTAACAGCACAAGTGACGGCAAGAAGGTTGACCTCGTTGAGTTTGATGATGCCACGGGACGTCAGCGCTGGACCATCGAAGCATGCGCAGATGGTACCTACAACTTCAAGGTCTTTGGCGGAGTTACAGGTAAGCTGAAATATTTGTCGTGTACGGCAGACGGAAAGGTGGATCTTTACGATAAGGATGACACATCGGGTCGCCAGCGATGGATCTTCAAGCTTGCAGAGTAATCAAGCAGGTAGCATCTGTGTCAACATCCGAACATGCGGTTCACCATCTGTGAAACTTTGAGGTATGCTCAGCACGATTTGTGTGTGAGCAGTCTCGAAATTTGTGGTTCCGCAAGTCACTGCACGCAGGAGCTCTCCCTGCTGCTACAGATGACATGCCAGTCGGCTTGCAACTCAAAGGAGAGGCGCTTCAGTTGAGTTTTTAAAGTTTTGAGACTGGCTTGAAGGCCGAAGAGTTTGGCAAGTTGCAGCTGCCACGATGTTGCTTCACTGCTTCACGGAATCCTATTTGGACTTGAAGCTCTTCGGCCTTAGTCAGCGCACAAAACGTTTCAAGTTGCCCCGTGTCTTCACTCAGTCACGGTTGAGAAGCTCTCCTCGCCTGCAGAAGAGAAAGTTGAGAGAGTTTGCCGCTTTGCCGCTGTGTCCGAGCCCAAAAATGTCACATGGTTTGCCGGCACGCCGGCGAGGCCGTTGGAGGTTGCACTCGTTCGACCTAAGGTGGAATCGAGATGGGAGTTTCCGAAAATAGGGGGTACCCTAAATAGTAGGGTCCTAGCCAGGCGGGAGGCAAAAAAATAGTAGGATGCCTATTATAAGGACTCCTGAATAAGGTACCCCTATTCTCGGAAACTCCCAGATTGGGCCTGGTCCGAGACGATGCCTCGGAAGGCCTGGCATGTTAGGGAGGTTTTCGTATTCTCGGCCCGGGTCGCTGTCAAGGGTTGCCATTGGTAGGGTTTTTAGGTGTGGGGTACCCGGCAGTTCGAAGAGGCCTGGATTCAAAAAGGTGTAAGATTGGGGGTTTACGGGTTAGGGTTTCTTTGACATGTTCCTTCAGGGATCTACTCGGCCGGCTTGGGGTGGAATTTCTGGGTTTTGATGCATCAGGGTTCAAGATTCTGAGTTGAAGGTGTGAGAAGTACCTTTTCAGCCTGAAGGCCCTGAAGTATAGTCCCCTCAGGAAGTATATTTCATTCATATAAAATTCAAGAGAATATTTAAAGCATTATTTTGATCATGGTTCTAAGGGGGGTATAGAGTCAGCTGCTGAATTTAGGGATTTTGATCTACAGCTATCGTAGGGCCTGCGGAGTCTCCAACTTCCGTAGCATTCCTGGGCCGACTGCTACAGGGGCCCTCATAACTCTTTAACTACCTACACTATTATGGGGGGTTCCTTATTCTAACTATAGTCTGATGGGCCCCAAAACCCTATTCGAATTATTAAGGCCCCTATATTATACTACCCTTCTGGATCCCTGAGAGTAACCCCCATATAGAGCCCTTTAAAGGGACCCTATTCTAATCATTGAGGCCCCTATGTCAGTTTTGGCAGCCTCAGGAGCAAGCGTGGCGACCCCTTCGAAGGCAAGTGGGAGGGAAGGACCTTTGGCCGTTCACAGGGTAGGGTTTTGGGGTTGAATCCTGATAAGGAACCCCCAAAATAGTATTGGTAATTGTCGGCATTTTCCTGTGAGGTTTGAAGGCACATCCCCCTCCAGGCTCTCTGCGAGCAACATGAGCATCACTCAGACATGGATTACAATCGTGCATCGACTATGTGACTAGGCACCGGCTCAAGTTAAGTAGCCAGGAGCCTGCCAAAGGCGGTTTCTATCATGGGCCGTCTTGATGGAAAAGTTGCAGTTATCACCGGTGGCACAAGTGGTATTGGTTTGGAGACTGTGCGGGTTTTCGTCCAGGAGGGCTGCAAGGTCATGTTCTGTGGCCGCGGCGAGCAGGTCGGAGAGCAGATTGCCAAGGAGCTTGGTGACACATGCGGAGTCCTGGATGCATTAGAGACTGATATCACCCCCTTCCTTCATCAAACCATGTCCACTGTGAGTAAGTGAAGCGCAGACGAAAGAGTCAATCCTAGGCTTCATCAAGTGCGATGTAAATGTCGAAGCGGAGATCAAGAATGTCATAGAAAAGACCGTAGAGAAGTGGGGCAAGTTGGACATCCTTTTCAACAATGCCGGTGGGCCAGTCGGACCCTTTCGAGTTGACCAAATCAAGAAAGAGCATTTGGATGCCAACTTCAGCTTGAACTTTAACTCCATGGTGATGGCCACAAAGTTTGCACTGCCACATCTCGTCAAGCAGCCGACTTCCTCTATTATCAACAACAGCTCTATCGCTGCGAAGAAAGCAGGTTTCGGAGACCCTCTCTACAGTGCCTGCAAAGGTGCCATGGACTCTTATAGCCGAGTAGCTGCCATGCAACTCGCACCTCGGGGCGTGCGTGTCAACTGCGTCTCCCCCGGTGCCACTGCGACGCCAATCTTCTGGTCTGGCTCTCCAGGCTCAGCGCGAGGTGCGACGCTAACGGCAGAGGATAATGCCAAGAAGCAGCAAAAGGTGGAGGCCAACATCATTAATAACTGTGCATCCCTCCGTGTCGGCCGTGCAGGCACAGGTCTTGACATTGCCCGGGCCGCGTGCTTTCTGGCATCCGACGACAGCATGTGGATTACCGGGCAAGATCTGGTTATCGATGGCGGCATGACCACCTTTGATGCGCCAAACAAAGCCTGGATGGCAGATCCGAACCCAGTGGACCCTGTGCCTTTGAGGCACAAACTCTCCAAGCTTTAGAGGACATGCATGCGTCCCAATCAGAAAATATGTTGCAGGCTCGGCGGCGAGGCAGCACATCCGTTCCAAGGTAAGTCATTGCCCCTGCAATGGGGGCAGGTCTTGCCGCAGTGTCTGATTTGGAGAGTTGACTAAAATTAAGGCCGCTTGTCTGCTTGCACGTCTGACATGCGAGTGTATGTAGGACTCCGGAAGCAGTCACGAAGATACCTTGCATCAGGTCAAAGCGATCGCCAGCGCGGTGATGTATGGTTGTTTCACACGGCTTCTCACGATATCGTTGCGATTGCAAACAGGAAGCGTGAGATTTCGGTGTTTTGATTGTCGCGGATCAGTATTGTGATAGGCGTGAGCCAGGAGTGTAAATATATATATATATATATATATATCCATCCACGTATGCTGAATTTACTAAATTCAGCTACAAGATTAGTTTCTGAAATAAGTATTTCACGACCAGAATATATATGTATATATATATATATATACATAGGTATCATTTTTATCATTCGAAACAAGAAGATAGATATATCAATGCATTTCTCTTTGATCTGATGATTTATAATGAATAAATTTCATATATATATATATATATATAATTTCATTTTAGTTGGATAATTGTAGTCAGATGATCAAATAGCGGAAGAAAGATGACGAAGATGATAGGTATGATCATGGTTTCTATATGATCTTGATAAGACTAAATTTGAGTTTGATTCAACGAAGTTATTATAGATATCGATTTTTTATTATGATATTATGCGGATTACGGC